TCGGGGAGGGAGAGCTGGCGGAGCAACCCAACCTGTGCAGCAAGGGATGCTGCAGCAAGGTGAAGAGCCCACCAAGAGGCCCTAAAACTGAACGAGAAAAGTAAGGAGGGAAAATGCTGTTTTTTTTCTAGTTCGGTTTGAATGTCAATCTTTTGTGGTGGGAAAAAAATTGGAAGTAGATAAATAATCTCATAAGGAAAGAAGAAGAAGAAGAAAATAAATATCTCTCAGCTACTTCTCATTAGTGGAGGAGTATTTACTTGGGTGAATACTTTGCCTGTTCACATGGCATCCCCACCATGGACACTCCAGTTCTGCACAGCTAACAAGCTCTCAGCAGGGAGGAATAAGACTATTTAATTTCTTAGCACACCTTGTATAGCCCATGGGGCTAACTCACATTTGGGAAGATGAATGCACGACCCTGACAAATACTATTAATAATGCAGCACAAGGACTTGTGAGTAGAGCGCTGTGTACTAGAAACCCCCAAATTGCCTTCACCGTGCCCGAGTCAGTCACCCTGCCACAGTGATATACGGCTGAAACCCACCCTAATAAAATACCTTCAGGTTTTGTCTGCTTGAACCTGATGAAGGGGCACAGGTCTTCAGTCCTGTGTCCAGAGGAGGCAACAGCAAGGTTCATCTGGGGCTTCCCCAGCTGTAGAGATTTGCTCTCCCCCTGCCCACCCAAGCAGCAGCTCCATGCTGTCCTCCTGGGCAAGAACAGGACCAGGTTGCCCCAAAACAACTGCCCCAACCTCACCTCACCACAGCAGCAGCTTCACCAGCAGCCGAAACAGCTCAGCGGTGCTCTTGGTCTGCATCCCTGCCGGGAGGGGGTTGCTGCCTGGCGGGGCTCTTGCCTCACCTTAACCTTCCCGGTGGTTCCTCGTGTCCACTACAACATAGGCGCAAGGGAGCAGCACTGGAGGGTATTTCAGCTATACCTATATGTAGATTGATATATAGAGATTTTTTTTTCCACAGTGCAAGAAAGAGCTCTGAAGCCATGAGCTGCTCCAGCAACAACTGAGGGACAACATGACCCAGCACAGCCTCATTATTCCTGGCTACTTAATTACTGCTCAAGATTGGTCTCTAATGAACCTCTTGCATCCATACCTCATGATTCAATAAGGGTTTTCAGGACACTCCTAACTAATGGGCAAATGGAGCTCGTTCCCACCGAGGCCCCATCACACCTGGGGCCACGGGAACGATGTGATGGAAGGGTGCATCACGGAGAGCACGTCCTGGGGGTAGGAGGGGGGTTGCTGGCAGAGAGGAGCTTTCATGTCCAGAAAATGCATCCCTGACCTTACAGAAGGGGCATTTAATTTAAAAAACCCCAAACACACAGAGGGAAGGTGGCTGCCAGGAGTTCCCTGAGAAGATCTCGGGGCACCCAGCTTCCCGACCAGCCTCCCCGAGCCGTGTGGGCGGGGGGCTCGCTCACCTCCCGTATGCAGTTTCTTCAGTTACCATCTATGCCTCCCGGTGCCGTGAACTCCATATGGCAGCCAGGCTGCGGGATGGATGTGTGTGCCGTGTGGGAGGCCGATGGCAGGGAAAGAAAAAGCTTCAGCCCGCTGCGGTCCTGAGCAGCCAACCGTGCGTGGATCAGCCAGCGCCGGGTTTTTATTTAACTCTTAATCCCAGTAATTTGCTCTAACACTATAGTTCAAGCAGACACAGCCGCATACACAAAGAGTCTGACACCAATTAGTCATTCATGCAAAACAAGAGATTTTTTTGCTTCCAAGTGCAAACAATTTCCTGCAAAGTGTCAGACGAGCAATCACCTTCCTACGGGCCCGTGAGTGGCTTGACTCATCCCATCGGGTGAATTTAAGGACTTCAGTCTCATAGGGGTTAAACCTCTAATTTAATTGCTAGTTTACCCTCAAACTCCTCTTTTTATGTATTGCAATCCAAGCAACAGACACAGAAGGAACACAGTGGGAGGCCAGCGCTGAAACAGGGTGGGAGAGAGACCAAAGGAGGCGACTGAGCAGTGTTATTCCAGGAGGGAGGGCTGTGGCATAACAGAGATTAAGGTGGGGTGAAACCGTGCTAGATGACTAGGAGAGGTGTTTAAATGGTGAGTAGGTGTCCTAAGGGGGTACTACATTTATCTACTGAGCATTTATCGCTGTGGAGAACATCAGCCACGGGGTGATGCTCGGGGGAGAAGGACCTCGCAGGGTGGCTGGGCTCCGCAGCTTGCCCCACCACCTCGGCCACGCCATGCTCAGGTCTCCGTGCCTCAGAGGCTCTGGAGAAGTTTCTCCACAGTCAGGGAAGGTGTGATACTTGCATTTAGAGGCCCATAGCCATCCATGCCGAGAGCTGCTGCCACGCCAGGCACTGTCGATGTCCCTGCCCACGGCAGGGGGGGGTTGCACTAGATGACCTTTAAAGGTCCCTTCCAACCCAAACTATTCTAAGATTCTATGATTCTGTGACAACCACCGTTGCCCGTGCTTTACCAACCACCACATTTTCCTGCCCAAAACCAGCGTTTACTGAACCAACAGCAAACACTTATTTTGACAGATTTCATTCAGCAGTCCTGCGCTTACGAAGGGCTTGTGCTCACTGGGTGAACGTGCGAACTCCCAGGCTCACAAATGCAGCCCCATGATGACAATCTCTCCAATGAATTAAAATAATTACTTTTCTAATTTGCCCCTAGACTCTGCTAAACCTTCTGGGGCCTTGAGGAAGGTGTGAAGTTTTTTTCACGTCTTCTGCTTATGTAGGCAGACATTTTAATTTATAAAATGAATAATTCCGTATTTAATCAGTACAAAGGAAAATTCCACTCGGGGACAGGGACGTCTCACGATGCTGCACAGGATTAGCCACACTAAACGACTCCCCGGCGTGGGGGAACGTGGCCGTGTGGGACAGCCCTCGCGTCTCTGAGCATCAGCGATGCTGGTGATTCCGAAGGTCTCCCTTCCAAGAAGGACTGGGAATAGAAAGGATCCATCAAGGGGAAGAGGCAAAGGCAACTGTCTTTGAGCCACCAGAAACCACTAACATCAAGCCCAGCAAACTAGATCGGGCTCTGGGAAATGCAAGATCATCGCTTGTGAATTCCAGCGCTTTCTTGGAGCCTAATTCGCACCGAACCTAGAGATCCCAGTGGAAAACTGATGGTTTACCCGGCTGGGGTGAACAGATGAGGACCAGCAAGCTTTGCCACCGGATGGTGGGGCTGGGTTGTGCTTTAATGCTTGAACCTTCCCAGCAGCGAACCTGTAACGCAGCACTTACAAACTGGGTTTTAAAATGAGAAAACAGGCGCTTGAGAGTAATAAAAAAATGAAGGGTAAATACAACTGTGTCTACAAAAAGATGCCCTGGTTTTAAAACTTAGCAAATTAGGAGTCAGCGACAATAAATATACACTAGATATACATTACTTGCTTCTCTGAAGGAGCTGGAGAGGAAATAATCCTGTTCAAGAGTTGGCTGGATATACGCTTGCAGTGAGGTCCCACGGGATGGGCGTCAGAGTCGATGCAAATAGTGGTGCTGCGCCAGGACTTTGGAGTAGTTTATAAATAATAAATAACAAATAATAAATAATAACAAAGAGGTGCAACATTCATTACACGGTATGCTAAATATGTGGTTAAAAGTGCGTATCTTCTATTTGTTTTAATTACAGTAAGACAAAACAAGCTCAAATATACCAAGAATCCCTGGGGGGTTTTGTTTTGCAGAAAGGAAATTTTCAGAAAGATTTCAAATAACAAGAACAGAAATAAAGTTCGGACAAAGCTCTTTCTCCTGCGAGGGGACAAGCTCCCGGCTCGCGCAGGAGCGCACGAGGGAGCACAGCCTTTTCCTTCCCTGCCCTTCGTTTTCAGTCAGAGCGATGCTCTCACCCTGGCAGCTGTCAAGTCTTCTAGGACCAAAATGTCAAAGCATCAGATGAAATTTTAAAACTTAAAACCTCAAAATAAGGTTCATACACACACAAAAAAAAAGCAGCTAAAATACCATATTCTGCAAAAACAAAATATCAGCCAAGTACTTTGCTAGGGTGGACTAGTGCCATTAATTTCAGCTACATCACTTCACACCGGTGTGGGATCTCGCCTTTCACCAAAATAACTCGCACTTCTGGTCGCAATTTCCCCTAAATCCTGCACCTAATGTTTCCTGTGAGAAAGTTTTCGGTAGTTTTCCACTCAATGCTGCACTGAAATTCTCCCAGTCGCTCTTCAGACCTCCAGTCTATGGGATGGCGGAGGAAATTTGGGTGCTAAGCCACCCAACAGCCCAGCAACCCCAGGGCTGCGGTGCCTCCAGTCTAACGTGGGATATTTAAGAACAGTTTGCAAGTGGCCACAGAGAAACAACAACCTGTTTGTGTCTAAGCCTGCTGAGGTATAGTCGAGAAAGATGGCTATTTCCCGTTACAGCCTGGTTAAAAGTGATATCCAGCAACAAGAGATATCAATCAGTAAATATTGAATCAAAACAAAATTTATGTTTTTCTAATGATGGCTATTTCTTGGAAATTTACACAAACTTTTTACGCCTACTGGCGCTTAGGCCAATAAATCTATAATTAAATGATACAGCCAAATGCACAAACTTTTGCAGTCTACCTAAACCAAAAAATACGCTACTTTTCTTTTTTTTCTTAGTTCTACTCTATTTTCTTTTTTCTGCTCTCAAGTCCAGCCCTGGATTTATCCCCCAGGCAGAACTGCTGTTTGCTCAGTGGGATGAGCTGAAAGAAGAGGACTTTGGAGAGATTTTTAGTTATGCAGGGGAGAATCAAAAAAAAAAAAAAACCCACAAAGAAAGGAAAATATCCCAATTCTCTAGGTTACTTTACTGGTTATATAACCAATCTCTCTGGTTATATTTACGCTCCTATAAATAGAGAATTGCCCTGAAAGAGTGGCCTAAAAAAAAAAAAAAAAAAAAAAACGGAGTCAGGACGCGGCGACCGTCGGCGCTTGGGTGGGAGCGGGCGCAGGGGTGGCGGGGCTCAGCACGGGGACGAGGACATCTGGTCGTAGTCGGGGCACTTGAGCAGAGCCGGGTAGTTACTGTTCATCTGCAGGGACGCCTCGCTGGAGATATCCGAAGGGCTGCGTCCCCGCGCCCACGCGTCCGGGTGCAAGAACTGCCCCGAGTAGTCGGAGCAGTTGCTCAGACGGGGACGGTAGAAGCCGGGGTGCGGTCGGTAGATGTCCTCGGCCGTGTATCGCTTCATGAACAGGTAAACGGACATCACCCCGGCACTCTGCAGGGGAGAGAGACACGGCCTGACGCTCACCCTGCTCACAGCCGCCTTCTCCACCGCCACCAAAACAGAACAAAAATACAAATTGCTTTTTTCGCTCTGCTGACGATGCACAAGGGCTCCCGAGGACAGCCGCTTCGCTGCCCTGTGCCCCGGGTTCCTGCAGTAAATAACGGGGCACAGCCACGTCTCCTCCTCTGCATCCATCCTCGGCACCAAATCGTGATCAAATGCCCCATCAGTGCTCCAGGCTTGGGGTCTGTCCCCACTGTATACGTCTCCCACCATACTATATATCCGCTCTCACAGCCTACCCTTAAGCCCCATCTGAGTCCTCTTTTTGCTCACAGCCTCAATGCCCCCACCCCGAGAACGGGATACACTCGCTACAGGGATGTGACAGCTCCCGGGTACCTCCGTGAGAAGGAACGAGATGGCAGAGAAGGCAAACGACCATCCGTATTTGTAATTGAAGAACGTTTCCGAGTCCTTGGTCCTGTTCAGCATCTCGTCGTTAATGCTGGATATGTAGAGGACCAGCCCCACCACCAGGCTCAGACCTGGGGAGAAACCAAGAAGAAAGATGGTGGGAAACGCTTCAGAGATGAAGCCGCTGAAGAAGCACCTTCTTTTAAGACACAACTTGTGGGTGAAAATGTAAAACTGTGGAAGTGTACTTGAAATAACTGGGGAAAGAGCCTGCTTTCCTGAAATTCTTTCCTTCTGAGCTAACCCCGGGCACTCCTCCCATTTCACTCAAACCGTGACCTGCTCACGCAAGTCCATGTGCACCGGGTAGGAGCTGGCTTCAAAGCTCGGCTGTCACAGCTATTTGTTTAACACTTGCACAGCACCATGAATAAAACATTCACTCGTCTCATGTAGAAACATCCCAGCTGAGCAGTTTGAAGGTTCAGATCTCTCCTGCGACCGATGTCCTCTCCCCCAGCACCTGCTCCTGCACGGGTGGTGGGGGCTTTTCCACACATCTCCTCGCCACCGCCACAAACGAGTTTTGCACCGGGTGATTTTCCATCCCACAAAGCCCGAGCAGGCTGCGGGGCCGAGCCGGGAGTCCCCGCGGGTGATGACTCCAACAGGGAGCCACCACAGCGGGTTAGGAGAGCACCAGCAGCTACAAAAGCAAACGTGCGCCCTGCTCAAGGATTTTCAGGAGAAAACCTGGCTGGGAAAACTCACCCGACAGGATGAAGAATATCCCCGAGACGAAGGCGAGGATGGTCCTGTGAGGCCGAATGTGGCCGATGTTGCTCAGGATGAAGCCGATGAACATGAAGAAGAGGCTGACCAGAGGGAAGGGGGTGGCAGAGCGGATCATCTCTGGTGGGAGAGGAGCAGAGGAAAGCGAGAACAGGTCAGTCCTGGGGCTCGGCTGGGTGGGCCGGCTGCAGCCCTGCTGCTCTCTGACCAGCCCGTGTCCTTCCTCGCTCCTGGTTAATGTGGCTGCCCCCCAGCCCCTGGCAGGGTTCCCCTCTTTGCTAATGAGCTGAGTAAAGAGGTGACTCTGGCTGGCTGTGGAAACGCCTGCCAACGTTTGCATTTCTGAGGGTTTCTATGTGAAGTGGTACATAGGAAAAAACCATCGGAACCTGCGTTTTTCTCCGGCTTCGCTGCAAAACAGTTTGCTGAACACTTCTGTTTATTAAATCAGAAATGACTGCAGAATTCATCATGAGAGCTGTGACACTCCACCCCTAATTCATCCCACCATGTAATGTGTAAAATTGACTGCTACAGAATAAATACAGCTGCAAATTACAGAGAGGAGACTATAAAGCCAAACGCTTCCATAAACATCAGCGCTGAATAGCCCGTGATAGGAAATTGTACAGCTTACAGTCTCTGTGAGCATCCTGCCATCAGAAAGGGATGTCCCCAAAAGCTTAGGAGCATATTGGGTAGTTCACATCATAGTAAAAAATGTAGTTGCATCCTTGCATGGTAGCACCGTCAAGGAATTAGGAGCTTCTTGGGCAAGGGTACAAAGAGGATTTCTTGGGGGGATCCCTAGTGACCCTTTGGTCTTTGCAGACCCCACCGAACCACTTACTCAGGACGTTGACTGTGGATTCAGACGTCAGCTGGATGTTCATGGGCATGACGTATTCGATAGTGAAGCACCGGCCACGCTCTTCACCTGCAGCAGACACAGACTGAGTCACACCCGCAGTGTGTTTGTCTGTTTATTTTCGGCAGGGGAGAGAGTAGCTTAATCAATTTTAAAATTAATTTCAGTGCATGCATAAAAATAATCTTGCTTTTTAGTGCTGCTTCCATCTTGGGTGTCAGTGCTGGGGCTGAAGACAGACATCTCTTAACTACCATCTCTCTTGTGCAAAAGGATTCCCTTGTATACAAAAATGTGAAGCTTGAAGCCGGAGGGTATCAGAGCTCCTCACACCCCGACTTTTTCAAAGCAGCAGTTGAAACTTCGTGACAATTCCGATCGGTCACTCTGAGATTCCCAGTCCCTTGGGTTTTATTCAACTCCATCCCTGCAGCCAAGTCACTTTATCAAACCTGGTGCGGACGGAGGGAACGGTCCAGCTGACCTGAATCTAAATGTTGCAGGGACAAAACGGAAAGTTTTGAGCTGCTGCCCAAGGCGCCGTGGCCGCGGCGCTGGGACGGAGCGGGACGGGGGGCAGC